CGGAACGCGGCGGAACCGCGTTCCGGCACCTTTTTCCGGGCCGGCCGCACCGGAAATAGCCCCTCCCACACCGGAAATAGCCCCTCCCAAATTTTACTTGCATTCCTGTTCTCTAAAGGGGCGGTCCTAGGGTTTGATGAGGGCGTGGCCAGGTTTGAGTTCCGCCACCTTTTCTCCGAGAAAAAAAGCCCTGCTTATGTTCATTTGATTGCTCTGAACAATTACAAAATGTTGAGTGAAATATAAGTGGTTAAAGTACAGTTATATTTGTAATTGCTTAGAACACAGTTGTTTTCATTCGCTGGCCTTCCATCACAGTATGATTGTTTTGTGTGGCCTTTTGATATCTACATTTTATTTTTGCAGATACCTTAATTCACAATGAACTGGGTGAGGAAGCAGTTTCTTCCTGTAGTTCCTCAGATGACTGACATATTTTAAGAAAGGCACTTACAGGCATGTGCAACTGATGCCCGGATGTACACACGTTTTAACATGTCAGCTAGCAACATTGATCTAGCAATCAGTATCACTTTTTTGGTTAACATACAGTTGCCTAATTGCACCTAATTGCATTTACAGATTTCTACATTGTTTTTCACCATTGTGAGGGATAGGCAGGTTTATTTTACAATAATTGTTGATGAAGTCAATATTTATTTAATCAATTTATATTATGTCCTCTTGCTCATTGAGCATTGAAACTCAATAGATTGCCGGCAACACTAATTCTGGCTCAAAATAATGGTGAAAACCTATGTGGATTTAATAAATCCAAGTAACCATGCTGAATTAATAACCTCCATCCACTGAAAAGACCAAAACCCAAAAAAGTTCATTCTTTGGGAACTGATAACTTATTTTCCTCATTACAAATTGGAAATGCAGCATTTTCCTTTCACAGTTAAATACCTTTTGGGATGATAGTGTGGTTATAAAGACTTGCCAAGAAGGGACAAAGTATTTCATTTCCATCATCTAAGAACTTTTGGTAGTACAGGTATGGGAGCTAGGCCGTTAATTTAACAGCATAAAATTTGAAAGGAGATGAATTTACAGTCTTAAATAATACATACTTCATTCTTTTGGTGAGACCTGTTCATTTACTCAGTGTGTTGAAAAGTTAAATTTAAAGGAGAGCAGTGTTTTGTATCATGTAATCATCTTTACTTGGTGTGATGCTCACATTTGTGAAAAATTAGAGCTCCTCCCCCCACAGGAGTACAAAGAAGAAAGCCAGTAATTCCCATCACATTTACACACCCCAAGATGATTACCTGTTGGAGCTAGAAATAGGAAGATGATACCTAGCATACTAACATTCCCAAAGAGATATCAAGTGAAACAAATTCAGCAGTTTTGCTATACTTTTTCTCAATAGTATGCGCAAGAACTGAGAATATCTTCCCCTCCATTATGGATTGCTGTTTTTTTTTCCTAGATGAAGCAGGTATTTCCCTGATAGTAAATTATGATTGTGCCAAAATGCCATTTTTTTTTGTTCTGCAGGAGGTTGCTTAATGATGCACCAACCAGATGTGGACAGGTCATGTAAGCCAGCATGCAGCCAGTCCCATTCTTACTGTAGTGAGGTATGTGCTACTACAGGTCAGGTTTCTGACATAGGGCCACAGTATCATTGGTCGTGCATCATATTAGAACAGTAGGAAAGCCAACAATGTTTAATTGGAAATCCTGTTGCAAGCACCAGCTTAAAGACTGGTGAAAATATTTTACCCTCTTGGCCATTATTTTGCAACTTTTACAGAGCTCCATTCTTATGCTTCATATTGTTTAGTGAGAGTTCTGAGCATAACCTATGAGGAAAAATCTCTTTAGTCTTCTTTGTCAAGAGGAAGGCAGGCAAATAAAATGGAGTTAAACTGGTCACACCGTTCTTGAAGAAATATGGGTAGATACATTGTTTAAGACTCTCTGACACTCTAAACTCAAGTTGAGCTGTTAGTCAAAATGAGAAATCCATTTTAATTAGGAAAGGCTGTAAGCAGAGAACAAAGCTGAATTATTGGAGACTGAATTACAGTATATGAGCTCTTGGGCTTTACCTGCATCCTTGTATATCTGCCCTAGAAGGCAGTTTTGCCAATCTTGATATTATGTTTCCCATATCTGGCATGGAAAGGGGTTCCATCTTGTCTTGCCAACCTGTCATTTTCAATCCGTAGATCTTGGGGGTTATAGAAATTGAGAGCAAAAGGCTGGGTAAAAAAATGAATAACCCTTTGACCTGCCCTGGACCAGTTCTGGCTGCCCCTAGCTCAGCTGAGTTACTCAGCCCTTGCTGTTACTTCCTAGCAGCAGGTCTCCTTCATCCTTGACTGGGACATTTCCAAGGTGCCTACTACTTATATGAGAATCAGGCTTAGACATACACTATAATAAAACACAAAGTTCTGCATTCTTGATTGCCCCAGTAGAAAAATCTTATACACAAAAATATGTACAAAATGGCACACAACATTTATAGGCTGCAATGGGTAAAACAGGTATAATTATATTTAAGAACTGGGTGAAGGATTTTCAATATTTTATTCCTTTTAGTTGCATGCACATACACAACTATAAGCCTATTAAATGGCTTACATTGCAGTTTTTGTTTCTTGATTCAAAATGGCTGGGAACTATCCTATGGACTTTTTGTCCAGTATTTATTGTTGTTTCATGGGGAAGAGACCCCAGAAACATTAAAAAAATGTTCACAATCATGTGCCACTCTGGGGTCATGGGTTGCTCATCTGTGTGGTGCTATATTCTGTGGCTTTTGAAGTGATATGACTTTGCTACAATATGTAAAACATTTGTTCCTCTGCAGACCAGAATGTGTGTTTGTGAACAAGGGTATACAGAAGTAATGTCTTCTAATGACACACTTGAGCAGTGCACTCGCATTCCAGTGGTAGTTATCCCCACAGTGGATCATAAAGAAGATGTGAAAACTAGTCGAGCTGTAAACCCCACACAGACACCTATCACCACACCAGGACGAGGAAGAACTTGGTTCCTCCAACCTTTTGCACCAGGTGAAATTTTGCATGGATAGTTAGTGATATTAGGTCACATAAATTGAATAGAGTAATTTTTTTGCAGACATTTATAGTATTGTATGATATTTTTAGAAGGTGGAGAGATAAGTGATTCTCAACCATACCTCAGGCCATTCCAATTGTTAATAGCATACAAAGGAGATCCCATGGTTTTCAGTCTTTTCTGAGCTCTTATAATACTACAAAAGCTTATTGGTTTATAGATACTTACCTTCAGCATGTCAAAAATGATTTTGCACAAAAGCATTGCATAAAATAAATATTCATGGCACTATCTTGGACAAAGTTTAATCATCACAAAATTTTCTCTTGCACAGATAGTTGCTCTTTCGGATGTCTAGCATGTAACCCTGTCTATAGGAATTACGTAGGAATAAGTTTTGCTGAATGTAGCTTGCACAGAACAGAACAACAAAGTTGGAAGTGACCTTGGAGGTCTTCTAGTCCAACTCCCTATTCAAGCAGGAAACCAAAAATCATTTCAGACAAAAGTTGTCCAATCTCAAAAAACCTCCAGTGATGGAGCACCCACAACTTCTGGAAGAAAGTTGTTCCACTGATTGATTGTTCTTATGGTCAGGAAATTTCTCCTTAGTTCCAGGTTGCTTCTTCTCTTGATCAGTTTCCATCCATGGCTTCTTGTCCTGCTGATTTCTGGTGCTTGCCTTAGCTCTAAATAAATATATTGTGACCAAGAAAGGAGGAGGGGAAAGAATTAAATAGCATTATATAAAGCATGTACAAATTCACAATCATCAAATAGATCTAGTGACCCACAGGTGGGAGGGGGAATCCATTTGTTTAATATTTTTACTGGTATTCTTGGAAAAAAGCAGAAACATAACTATTCTCTTTGTAATGACTTTGTTTGAAATTACATTGATTTGATCAATAATAGGCAATAGAATCAAGCCATTAAAAGACCTTAAAAGTTTTTAAAAACCTGAACTCTGGGCACATTCACAGATATTATGTCTGGTACAAACACATTCCTCAATTTGGTGCTTGAGTAAAGATTTTGTTCTTCATTCTTCACCATCTTTTCTATTGAGATGCTGCAAGAAAAGATATAATTTCACTTACTAGCTAAGCAAACCTTGTGTGACTTCAAAAATGCATCATTTGTTGATAATACTAACTGTACTTGAACAGACCTTGGATTACTCCTTTCTAAAAATATCTGATTGGCACTAATTTATGTACTAATGACTAACAAACGTTTATTTTAGATGGGAAGCTGAAGACCTGGGTTTATGGTGTAGCTGCTGGTGCATTTGTTTTGCTCATCTTTGTAATATCTATGATCTATCTAGCCTGGTGAGTTTTATCATTTATTATACTTGGGGTTTTTCCTCAAAAAGAGTATACAGTAAATATACAAATAGGCTTATATTTTGCTTCAATTTATTTCTTCCATCTTAATATTGAATTGAATCCTCTTGTTGTCTTCTGTCTATTCAACCCAACTTTCAACTTCTCAATATGCATTAACAACAGCTATTGGGACCAGGACCTCCATCACTAAATGACATGGTCATAAAACAGTGTCATACCATGTTGCATAGCGACAGCAATTCCAGCAGTCCCAATCACCGTAATGAAACAAAGATCATGTGGACCACTAAGTGAAGACCTCATGCAATTCCAACTTCCTGTCAGTTTGGGAAACTGGCAAGCAATGTTGGAAATCATGATCACTTTCTCCTAAGCAAAGTAATGACCTCTCTGGCTGCCAGAGTGGTCCTAACTGCCCTTCATTCAGTGTCATCATAACTTTGAACAGTCACTGAATGAATGGTCATAATCCAAGATCTGTACTGTTTTATATGTTCTTCACTTGCTGTCTTCCCCACCCAATTAAGCACCTATATTTGTGCTTAATTACAGTGCAGATGCTTAGTGATATACCTATACCTATACATTATACATATAGATATATGTATAATGTATATGTATACATATATGTATATACATCACTAAGCATCTGTATTGTAATTAAATATATATATATAGCATTCATATACCGCTTCATAGTGCTTTACAGCACTCTCCAACAATCTGGATCCTCATTTTACCAACCTCAGAAGGATGGAAGGCTAAGTCAACCTTGAGCCAGTCAGGATCGAACTCCTAGCAGTGGGCAGAGTTAGCTTACAATACTACATTCTAACTACTGCACCACCATGGCTAAATAGAAAGTTATTTTGAAATGATAAGCCAGTCATTGCTATGGAACTGTTAACACAGGAGATGCAACAGTTCATCAATATCAGTATCATCTGGATTCAGTAGGGGCTAATAAATGTGATTGATAAAGCTGTTGACGAAAGCACTCCAAATGAGTTGATCACAGGCTTCCAACTATGGAGCCTTCAACAAACTCCATATCCTACTGAGCTCTTTTTCAAAGGCACATTCATTGCTTTTCCAGTTATTTTCTCAGATTTTTTTTTTAATCTTCATTGGCAAGCAGTGAAAGAGAATAAAGATCAATTAGCTTCCAAATTGATCCGTACTTTTGGAAAGTATGTAGCAAGGAAGATAGCTGGAATGGAACCTTCCATAAATGTCTGAAATAAACTAATAACAAAATAATGAAAAAATGTGGATTGGAACATTATGGCTCAAACCTGAGCTCGTGTTCCATCACACACAAGAATGCAATTTATTCACTTGTCTCTCCCCAAAGCTCTTTCTGCTACTCCCCACTTACAACCACATAGAGGTAAAGTCCCATTTGAGTCCAACTCAACTCCTGGTACCTTTTCCAGACAGTACCTTTCTTGCCAGTACAATGGAAATGGGTTGCTAATTTTTTACTTCCCTATATAATTTATATCCCTAATATCCTGGCTGAAATTTTCTTCTTAGGTGGCAGGACGGTGGGTTTTCTAAATAGATTGATCAGGTGACTATCCAGAGCTACAGGGTGATAACCTAATTATTTATTTGTGTCTGACATGTAAATGCATTCGTAATCTACAGATTTTTGCTGTTTCTTTCCTTCAAAATCTTGTAGATAACAGCTTACATATCTGATCCAAACCAATTTAAATCAGAAAATTATTAAAAGTGAGAATTGCTTAAATCCATGTTGCCTTCTCATCCTGGATGAAATGAATAGCAAACCTTTCTCTGTGTTAGCTTAATCTCTTAGATTGGTGACTGTTTATTTTTGCTCATTGCAGTAAAAAGCCAAAGAAGCCACAGAGGAGACAGAATAACCGTCTGAAACCTTTAACCCTGGCTTATGATGGAGATGCAGACATGTAAAATAGTTGTTTTCCATTCTTTAAACTTTTGAAACAGTAGTATTGAAAAACCGCATGCACATTGTGGACATTACCAAACAGATGTTACACAAGAAAAAGAAAAAGGAAAAAAAGATAAGATGGATGGCCATGGATGGAATCTTTGTTCTTGATCACCAATTGGTACAGCAAATTCCAATGGTCATTTTCAGTTGTAAGCACATCAGCTGGGCATCTTTATGCGGCACTCTTTGAATCATACGAACTATAAAGCCACTTGCATATTATGTTGAGATTTGGGAGTGTTGATACCAGAACAGTCTGCTGCATTAATCTAACTTTACTCAGTAAGCATGGGAAGATCATACCAGATTGTCTATAATGCTTTATATCCAAGGTATATAATATTCAGTTGCATCATAGGTAAAAAAAATCTTTCAAATGATATACTGGTTAAAAATCAACTTAGTGTTTAGCATCTTGTAAACTTTAACTGAGAATAACAAACCATTGAACAGGTTTTGGCATTTTTGGGTGACAGGAGGCAGTTTTCTGAACTAGGCTTTTAAAGAGGTAAAGACTTGCAAAATTCTTGTCTTTTTACCAGTCCCAGGTACGGAAGCACTACTACCACACACATTTATCAAGGAGTTAAGCATCTTCAGGTTCAAAAATTTTATACAAGTTGTCTCAACATTTAATATCTATGTGTAATACTTTTTACTTTCTCTAACTCTCAAACTGTTGCCTGGAACTTTTTTTGCTATGGATAAGGCAATATATATATATATATATATTTGCACTATATTAGTGCCGCATGATATGCACTTATTAATGAGTATTGCCATAGAAACTGTCTCTTTTCAATAAGGGTGATGGTGAAAATCCTGATCAGACAGACAGTTGTCAGTAAATTTTTGATTCCTGATAAAAGTAGAGATCAGTTTCCAAAATGTTACTGGATAGACCAGCTAACACAACTACTGTTTATATACCAGTCTTGTAAAAGCAGCTGTTTTTTAGTCAAAATGCTGGCAGTAATGTAAGTGTCTACTTTCAGACTCTGGTGGACTTCTACAGTTAGTAGATTTTCAAGTTGATTTCTTATTTCTTTGAAGGTTGTAAATGACTAGATTTTTATATTGCTAACTTTATAAAAAAGAAAAAAAGAAAAAAGTGGTTGTGCGCTAATCTTGGGAAAAATACTTAATTAAACAGTGTCCCAATATGCTCAGTGGAAGGAATATGAATTTATTACTTATTTTTCTCCTGCTAATGGAAAGTATTTCATTGCTGAAGGATTGATAGTCCTGTTCTTACTATTTGGGATAATTTGATACAATCTTGAGTTTGCTTGATTTCTTTCTTTTTTCTTTTTTGGGTGGGACATTTCAGAACAATGGCTAATATAGACTATTTTTAAAAATATATCCTGATTCATCATTGTCACGTACCTAATCTAAAATGGAAACTGTAAAGTGTTCATGGAGCTTTCTCACTTGAAATGCCTCTTTAGACATTTTAAGGCATAGAAATGATATTTTCACCATTCTTTTGAACTGAACCATCATAGTACATAACAACGTACAAGCTTTTCCTCCAATGTGCAACTTTTTATATAATCATTCTGGTAATAGCTGATTCATTTCTTTTAACTGCTTCCATTCTGAGGTTTGTATTAAAAATGAATCCAATTTTATTGCTATTCAGAACCATTTAACATTTCCAAAAAATAATGTCCATTTAAGATTGTGTGTATGTCTATATATATCTAGTTGTGAACAGATAAATAAGCAATATAGCTCATCAACTTTATCAGACTTCTGTTACACATGATAGTATTAGTTCTGACACCTCAGGTCTATGTCAATAAGCTAAATCTTATGCCTGGAGCATTATGTAGTGATTAATTAAATCAGGCAATGCACTGCCTATAGCTCCTTCTTCAGATCCTTGCCAGGCTTCCTGACTCAGCAGGCTATTTAAAAACACATTTTTGTAAAAAAAGAAAATCAGTACATGAAAAAATGGCCCCTGGATTGTGAAACACCTGGGATTATCTGTGGTAGCATATCAAAATCTGCAAGATAATAGATGTGATTTTGTGATTAAAGTCCTATTCTTTTATAAGTCATCCTCAACTTATACTCATTCATTTAACAACAGTTTGAAATTACAATGGCCTCTGAAAAAGTGACTTATGACCTGTCCTCTCACTTAGACAGACACATCAACCCTGTGGTTATATGATCACTATTTGGCCATTCATCAACCAGCCCACCTTTACAATAGTTGCGGTGTTTTGTGGTCACTTGACTGCCTTTCCACCCTGACAGCATTCCTGCCCAGCTTCCAAAAAAATTGAGAAAGCCGAATTCACTTAACAACTGCATGGTTCATTTAATAACCATGTGAAATTCACTTAATAACTGGTGATTCACTTAACAACTGTGGTGGAAATGGTTTTAAAATTGGGTCCGGTCTGGTGTCAATTTACTTAATGACTGCATTGCTTAGCAACTGATAATCCAGTTCCAGTTGTGGCCATAAGCGAAAAACTGCCTATATATGTACAGGCTTTGATTATTACACTGCACACAACATGATCTGGGACGGTCTCCAGAGCAGTGGCTCCTAGCCTTATAGGATGCAACAGCCTCAACATCTCTAATGGTGGGAATGAGCTTGAGAGAGGTGGGGGGGGGGAGCCACAGCCAGACAACAATTGGATAAGAGGCATCTGAGCCTGTAGAAGGAATGTGGGTGTGGCAAACATCTCGGAAGGGACCCTTTCTCGTTTCTTGGACTGCAAAGGCAAGGAAAGAGTACAGTGTTTTCAGACTTGCAAACCTGATATCAGTTTTGCAAGGCAGTCCAGAGACCTAATTATGCTTTATTGTAAGTTTACATTAGCAGAATCTTGTAAGTCCCAAGGTCATTCCCACATGCCGCAATGACACTTCAAGGAGGGCTGTTTTACACTTGTATGCCTGATGAGTACTTTGAACAAGCCCTTCATTAGTGCAGCCTTCCTTTACTCAACTATAAGAGAAAGTATGAATTAGTATTCTTAAATAATGCATCAGTGAAAGTAAATTCTTCAGACTTGTGTAATTATTGGAGAACGGGAGGCTTTCCATTCTCCATGAAGAAGTATATAAATTATACTGTATCTAGGCTGGAGCAGAATATTTTGGTCTCCAGAAAGTTTTGGATTTTGGATGTACTTGCATCACACTCCTAATCTTCTCTGACATTCCTTTTTTCAGTCCAGCATCTGGGGAAAACATCACTGGTAATGGAGGTAAGACTATAGACATTACTTATGGTCTCTGGGGCCAACACTATTTGTGGGAATTAGGCACCTATATCTCCTGCAAAGCCTTCATTCTGCTACACATATTCTGGGTGTGGGGTGGTTTAGCCCAGTCTTAATCTTGATTCACGTTCTGTCCACTAATAGGCTGAGAATTCTGCTACGCAACCTAGCCATAATATTTTCAATGTTGATACAGGTTCAGAATCTATCCACTCTAATACTGTTTATGCTATTTTAAAAAGTGCTTCTATATGAGGTGAATCTGCAGTTATCAACATGAAGGAGGAATGTTCTAAGCACCCTTGAGCAACAGATGTTTGGAAAATATAAACAATTCAACCCGTTTACTAACATTAACCCCCAAAGGTACTATCCAAATAGAACCAACAAACTTGATTATATTCACAGTGTAATCTTAACATGGTCATTTGGAAGCAAGTCAAATGTGTTCAGTTGAATTTAGTCTCAAGTAAGGAGTGCAGCCCGGAAAGGTAAGATGTGTGAAATACTTAGAGTTTTCATTTAATGTAAAGAATTTTTTTTTAAATCATCATTGGGCCAGCGAGAAAGTCAGAAATGTAGCCTGGATTGTGTTAAATCTAGCAAACAAAAAGTAGTATTAAATCCGTGATTGCAAATATTTATCTTTATGAGATGAAGTTGTTTTTAAAATCTGTTTCTACAAATCCAGTGCCTAAATCAGCCACAGCAGTAAATTGTTAACTTGTAAAAATAATATTTTCAGTGATCCTACATCTTTAATCCATCCTTGAACTACTGAGTGTGCATGTTCTTAATTCTGTTCTGTTTGTAACTACAGTTTATAAATGGTAGTTTTTAAGTATGATTACATTTGTTGGTTCTTCCAACATTTTTCAGTTTTTAAAACTCCACTTTGTTACATATGTTTTAAGTATTTCTCCCCAAACGTAATGCTGTAAAATGATTAATTTTAAATCATGTAAACAACATTGTAAAAGAAAGTTTTGGAAAGAAAAGAAATATTTTCTTTTTTAAAATTGTGCTTACCCAAAGTAAAAAAAAAAAAAGGAAAATTCTTTTGCATAATGTTCAATGCAATCCTAAGAAATTAATTCTGTTGCATTCAATAGGATTTATATTCACCTAAGTGTACACAGGATTGCAGTCACAATTTACTTGAATTTTCTGCTCTCTTTTCCTTAGATTATGAACATGTATGACTGGGGAAATGTTTACCTTTTGGTTAATTTGTAAGCAGTGTAATGCATTTTCATTTTTTAATTATGAATTTTTCTTTTTTAACGGACAAAACTTTATATACAGCTGCAAATGTGTGTATATTGTTACCAAATTTTATTCAGTTAATGTGGAACACATGAAAATGTAAATGTACTTACATTTTCAAATGGGATATTTGTACATAACTGAGATGATGCAAACAATAAATATTAACACAAAATGGATCAGTGAGTTAACTGCTTTGTTGTGTTGCTGTGTTGGGGTAACTAGCTGCAACTTTCATCCTTCGAGAATGAAACACTAGTAATAACACTGTATGCCACCAATTGTATCAAGGTCCAGGAATTCATTATCATTCATCTCTTTTAAATTAAAAGTTAGGTACTTTGAATGTCCATATGATCGCCATAGCTGGGCACAAACACCTTTTCCACTTACATATAAGAAGAGACAACAGGTGGTAATTGTTTGGACCCTTCCAGAAGAAGAACATTTTCATAGATGTTCCAAGGGCAGGACGTCTCCTAACACTGTAACAGTACTACTAAAATGTCCATGGGAAGTCTTCCTTCTCAAGATCGGTTCATACAATATAACTGACCAGGAAGGATACTGGCCACAGAAGAGATGATTATGCAGTGGAAAACTAAGCATTCAACTTTCTCTATTATGGGAAACCCAAATTTCAGATGGCTTCCTAGTTGTTTCTAGCTGTTGAACATGTCACAAGAATTCTTGATTGTTTTTCATTGCTTATTTTCTTTGGTTGAGATTTCAGGGTGTATATAATATATGGATGTCTGCGATTGTCTGATTGACACTTCTGGCTATTTTCCATTTCCATGGTGGTAAAATAATAGTCAACTTAGTATTTTTTAATTTGTCCCCAAGCGGCTGTTTCTTTTTTCTCCTCTGATAGCTATTTTGAAAGTTCTCATCTCTAAAAGCCCACTGAGAATTATTTAAAACCACTCAGTTATACTATATTGTGGGCCACTGACCCAGACTTCATTAGAAAAAGAGGGAAAGGTAGTATGTAGCACAAATTATAATATAGTATGCATAATAAAAGACTATAGTCTTGCCTAATCTACTTTCCTGTCAACAGCATGCAAATTCTACAGACTACAAATATAAATTTTTGCAACAGCAGCAGTTATTTTGGGATCTTTATTCCTCCAAAGAAGCTGTACATATAATTCTTCCATACAACCTAAAAATGGACTACAAAGGAAGTTAGTAATTCATGGCAGGGTTGTAAAAGTGGTGGATAGGAAGGTATAAGCCTTGGGCCATGTTTTCCTCACCCACCACTTTCTGGGAAATAGACTTTTTTTTGTGGCCCTTCTATCTAGTTCTTCCCCCAGGCCTTATTGCAGACATGTCAAATACAAGGCCTGGGGGCCGGATGTGGCCACGAAGTGGTTTCATGTGGCCCATGAAGCCATCCTGGAAACAATGAGGAAATGGCCCCCTCTGCCTTGGCCCTGGCTCAGGCCAGCCGGGAGCCAATGTACAATTTTGTGGTGGCCATCTATGCTGAAACGCATTCAGTCTTAGCTCCACAAGGCTGTCTGGAAACAGCGAGGAACCAGGAGAACCTTGAG